CGGGGCAGAAAGCGGCGGCGCTCTTTCGAGGAAGTCCGCAGCTCGCGGTTCGGGCCGTTCTCAACTCGGCGCCTAAGTGCGCCATCGCGTGGCGGCGCCACTGTGGCGGCCGGCAGGTTGAGGCGCATGCGATGTCCGTGCAGCAGCACGGAAGGCGACTCGCCGGTGGTGCAGTGCGGTGTTGCCCTGTGCTGCACGAGACGCTGGCGCACGTGGTTTATGAGGTTCGCAGCCGTGCGCCGTACCAGTTGTGTGACTCCGTGGACCCACGCCTTCACCTCTCAGTTGAGCCGCTCCACTGCGGCGTCGCCGCGTGGCCGACCCACTAGTTCCGCTAGTGCCTCACCGAACGCCTCCCGCGTTCGGTGAGGCACTAGCGGAACTTCTCACTGGTAAACTGCAGGCCATTGTCCATCGCCAGCCCTGCGCAGAACCCCTCTCGGGACCAGGCCAGACTGAGAAACCGGATGACGTCCTCAGTCTCCACAGTCGCTGTCGGACTATTTCAGTAAATGACCACATACATTTCAGTAAATGACCTTCCGACATTTGTTAACACCTAAACGCCTTGTTGGCATCTAAACGACCTCTATCATTGTTATGGTGTATCTGGCGGACGGTGGTGCACCGTGGTTCTGGCCCGCAATGATGAGTCCATGTCTGGCCCACGGCCGGTCCGGGAGAGCGGCCGGCTGGAGCGGCGCGGGGCGCGCCTGCCGTGCCAGCACGGCGTCCTTGGCGTGGCAGGCCGGGCAGTCTGTGACCAGTCCTGCAGCGACCTTCGCCATCCCGGACCACCACGCCAGATCGCTTAGGGTCTATTTGGTGCGCACCACGCCGTCGCGCTCGCGGGTGGGCCAGCTCCAGGTACTTGGTGCGCAGAGCGACCGGGACGCCGGCGCGGTACGGGCCCCGCAGCACAATGCCGTCTTCACACACTTGCAGCTCATGCCGCACGGCGTAAAAGTCGTGTGTCTGTGGCGGTCACTTTTGCGCGGCGTCCGGCCAGCCGGTGCGGATGGTCGACCGCAGCTCCGCCAGGACTGGATCGGCGGCGGACGCCGCGCGGATGGCGTCCTCGTCGGTAGCCTCGTCGGTGACAAGGGCGACGGTTTCGTCACTGTCGGTCTCGGCGGCCGCCGTGTCCGACAGTGGGAGGCGGGACAGGGTGTCGGCGACCGGTACGCTGTGGCCGGGGCGGTAATCCACCGCGCACGAGTACGGCAGCAGACGGGCCTGTCATCTGGCGACCCGCTCGCCGGCGCAGATGGCCGACTTCGGCGTGAGCAGCGTCGTGAGCGCCGGGTTGCCCGTCTTCAGGGTGAAGGAGCGGCCTCACAGGTACACCCGCCAATGCTCCATAGCGTTGACGGCACTGAGGGCCTTCTTTTCGAGAGAAAAAAAAACAGAGTAGCGTCACTCTGTGTCGGTGAACGATCGTGACCAGTACGCGACGGAACGTTCAGCACCGTCTGGCTGAACTTGGGTCAGGACGGCGCCTGCGCCGCGGTTACTGGCGTCGGACATCACAGCGGGGCGGAGGCTCGCGTTGAAGGGCTTCATCACCGGTCTCGCAGAGATGAAAGACAGCATGGCAGCAAGAGGCCTGGCCACTGGTGAGTACTGGGGCACGAATCGGCTGGACCAGCCAGTTGTGCCCAGGAGGTTACGGAGCTCCTACACGTTAGTGGGAGGCAGGGCCTCGACCGCGGCCTTGGTGGCAGACAGGAGTGGGACCACTCCGTTTTGGGACAGCTGACGTCCGCAGAACTCCACCCACACCTGGCTGAATGAGGACTTCTCCATGTTGATGGTGACGGTGACCTGATAGAGGCGGTCCAGCACGGTGCGGAGACCCTTATCATGTTCCTGCTGATCGCGGCCAGCCAACAGGATGTCACCCAGGTAGTGGCCACAGCCCTCGATGCCCTGAAGCAGGTTACTCAAGAGCTTTTGGAAGGCGCCGCCGCTGGACACCAGGCCGAACGGGACCCTTGTTTCATGCATCAGGCTATCCGGCGAGGAAGGCGGTGATGTCGCGGGACTCCTCGTGCAGGCGCAGCTGACGGTGGGCCGTCTTCAGGTCGATCCGGCTGTAGACCGATGCGCGGAGCTTGGACTCGAGCTCGTCGGTGGTGGGGAGAGGGTGCACCTCTGCCACGGCCTGGGAGTTGGGGCCTCGCAGGACCACAGAGATCCTGATGCTGCCGTCCTTTTTGCGAGACACCGTGAGCGGGCTCGCCCACTGGGAGGCGTCGATCCTCCGGATGATGCCTGCTTCATGCAAGTGCTGCACCTCAGCCAACACCTCATCCCTCACTCACAGAGTCAGTCTACGAAGCTTGTAAGCTGTGGACACAGCATCTGGCTTTAGTTTGATAAGGTGCTGGTACCCTTCAATGGCTGGGAGGTACTCGGGTGTCGAACCTGCTGTCACTGTACACACAGTGTGAGAGGCTGGGTGGTACTCGGGTGTCGAACCTGCTGTCACTGTATACACAGTGCGGGAGGCTGGGAGGTACTCGGGTGTCGAACCTGCTGTCACTGTACACACAGTGTGGTAGGCTGGGTGGTACTCGGGTGTCGAACCTGCTGTCATTGTGTACACAGCGTGGCAGGCTGGGTGGAGCATGATGACCAACACTCAGCAGGTCCATCCCCATGATGGCTTCCTTGCCGGGCATCTCAACTAGGTAGAAGGACGCGTACCACTTGGTTGCCATTGTGGGTGACAGGGACAGGCAGCGCCGCTGGTATGGTGAGAGTCTGGTGACTGAAACCGAACACGAACAGCCGAGCGCTGGATAGCTGGTAGGACACACCAGGGAAGAGTTGCTTGGAACGGCTGAGGCTGAGCAGGCAACATGTTGCACCTGTGTCCACATGCAGTGGCACATCCTGGGTGGTGCCACCACCTGTCAGGTGAGACGAGTTGGGCCAGAGGCCTCTGAGGAGCAGGCCAGCATGTGGAGCTCCTTGACAACTGGTTTGTGGCCTCGTTGAACTGACCCGGCAATGGCTGCACTGCTGCCACCACGGCACCAGCTGGCGAAGTGTCCCTTCTCCGCGCAAGAGTGGCAGGCAGTCTTGCGGGCAGGACAAGCTGCATCCCTGGGAGCATGGTCAGCACGTCCACGATTGGTGCAGTGGTCACTAGTGCTGTCGTTCGGCTGCTGCTGGGGGTGCCGCCCGTGGCCTCTGGTCCTGGTGACCTTGGCCACTGTGGCTGCAGGTGGCGTTGTTGCTATCGCTGGAGTGGTGATGAAGGCAGCCTCGCGCGAGGAGTGTTGGTAACTCTTCGCGAGACTGAGAATCTTCTCCAAGGTCAGGCCCCTGTCCTGCAGGAACCGTTCCCGGAGACGCTGGTGGTGAGTCTTCTCAATCACCACATCCCGATCATTTCGCACTCCATGGGGCCAAACTGACAGGATCGAGCCAGGCTGTGCAGAGCAGCGACGTAGTCAGCGGTTGACTCGTGGGGGCCTGGGCTCGCTAGCGGAACTTGGAGCGTTCCACGAGCTAGCCTGGCTCGGGGAGTGTAAAATTCCCGGAGCTGGCGGAGCGTCGCCGACAGCGCACAGATGACGGGCGCGCCGCTGCTAGGCTAGCAGCAGGGTCGCACCAGTTCTGACCATGATGCAGAGCTCGAATTTCTGCCTCAAAGTAGCTCCCACGTACGTTGAGGGACGGCCGGCGTCCCGGGATGGGGCAAAAATGGCGCAGGAAGTGGCGGTCCGCTGTCACCGTTCACAGCGGTGCGCTGTGACAGATTGCGGTGAAAATCACGTCGGGAAGTTTGCAGCACGCGATAGCACCACACAACAGAAAAAGAAAAAATGAAACACAAAAGAAAAATCCTACTCGTCGTCAATCCTGGTGTTCTCGAGCCGGCAGGGCTACAGGCGACACCACATGCGTGGGCTTTCATGCAAGACTGTGTGTCAAGATGGCCAGGTAGAGATGAAAACGTAAGTACTTTAAGAGGTGGACAATTAGAGTACGGTTTGTCGCGGTAAACCACCTTTGAACATAACACCGTGAACAATACTTCATTGATTCGAAGGCACAACATATTATTTGTGTTTTTTTATGGTCAGTGTGCAGTGCACAGCTGCTATGACCTGGGCTGTGACCTAATAAATAAGGCTGTCCGTCAAAATCCAAGTACCGCCAGCCCTGTCGCAAATCCTGGTGGCCGTCGCTCCATCGCGCGTGCGGGCTGCGTCGAGCTGCCACTTACAGAGGGCGCTGCCGCTGCCGCCGCTTGCAGTTGCCGGGCGACGTGACCTTCAGCCGGAGCAGAACTGAGGCGGGGACGGGCATCGGTGCGGTGCTGCCGACTCCGGCGCCTGTAACAGCGGTGCGCAGTGAAACTTCACCGGTGCCGGGTGCGGAAGAATCTCAAGACCGCTGCTGCCATGGTGCTCATTCTCTCCCACCTGATCGAAGCATGTTCGTCTTGCATTCCCGTTCTGATCTTCTTGGTCGCCATCGCCGTGCTGTTCGGTTACCTATCGCCCCGGGCGAAGATCCTGCAGAAGATTCCCGGCCCGCCAGCGTACCCGCTTCTTGGCAACCTGCTAGACATGCCACGGCACACGCACGAGTTCGTGTCGGTGATGCGAGGACTTTGTGAGCGTTTCCCGGGCGTTATGCACGTCTGTTTCGGCTCTTACCACTACGTAGTGTTGTCTTCAGCCGAAGCTGCCGAGCCGGTTCTGAGCAACAAGCGCTTTCTGGACAAGAGCACCAGCTACGATATGTTGCGACCCTGGCTGGGCCTTGGCCTTATCACCAGCACCGGTCACAAATGGCACGCGCATCGCAAGCTCATCACGCCCGCCTTCCACTTCGCCATCCTGGAGCCGTACCTGGAGGTGATGAATGAGCGCAGCGGCGCGCTCATGCGGCGGCTGCGAGAGGCCGGCACCGGCTTCATCGATGTCTGGCCGTTGATCTGGGACGTCACGCTGGACGTGGTTTGTGAGGCGGCAATGGGCGTGAACTTCAGCCCGCAGTCGAACTCTGCTTCCGAGTACAAGGCCTCCCTCCAGACGATGGGCAACATCATTCGCATGAGGTTCCTTAAGTCCCGGTTCAGGAACAAGTTCATCTTCTGGCTCCTAGGTTGGAAACATGAACAGGACAAGGCGTTAACCTCACTGCACTCATTTACCCGGTCGGTGATAAGGGAGAAGAAGATGCTTCTAAAGAAAGGCAAATCGAGCATGTTCAGTGAAACACCAAGCAAGAAGCGTTTGGCATTCCTGGACCTGCTGCTGTCCAGCGCGAAGGATGGAACTGTTTTGACTGACGAAGAAATCCGCGAGGAGGTGGACACATTCATGTTCGCGGGCCACGACACTACATCATCAGGAATCACTTGGGCGCTGTTTAACATCGGCAGGATGCCGGAGGTGCAGCGTAAGATCCACGATGAACTGGACGAAGTCATGGCCGGACGCGACACACCGCCGACTAGAGACGACCTGGCCCAGATGAAGTATCTGGAATGGACCATCAAGGAATCGATGCGCGTCTGCCCTCCCGTGGCCTCCTACTCCCGAACGCTGTCCGAGGCGGCTCAGATCCTGGGCTACGAAGTGCCGGCGGGCACGAACGTACTCTTCTTCCCGCACATGATCCACCGTGACCCGCGCCACTGGCCCGACCCGGACCGGTTCGAGCCGGACCGGTTCCAGCCGGAGCGCTCCGCCGGCCGGCACCCCTACAGCTACCTGCCCTTCTCGGCCGGGCCGCGCAACTGCATCGGCCAGAGGTTCGCGCTCATGGAGGAGAAGGCCGTCATCTCGGCCGTGCTCAGGGAGTTCCGCATCGAGTCGCGCCGCCAGTACGACGAGAGCATGATGAACGTCTGCCTCACGCTCCAGAGCAATGGCCCCGTCGAAATCCGGTTCGTTCCGCGTGACCGCGAGTGACTCTCGGGGGTCGTTCTCAGCACTATGTGTGCCTCGAGGAGGTGTACTCGGTGTCATGTCTTGGTGCCTACATTTGAAGGGAGTAGGCTTGATGAATCGAAGAAAAAAAGTTGTTAAAAAGGTTTTCAGCCCGTTGGATGTGGACGCCTCGCGCTGAAATGGCATTCAGCTGTCGCTGAACTGGTACGTGTGATCACGAACAGCCGTCAAGTTTTACGACTTCCGGGACGGGTTCCACGCGTTGTGCCTCACATTGCGGAGAACGGACTGGAGGGGGGGGGGGAGGGGGGGGGAGCGGGTATTTGCCCCCGTAGCAAATGGCCAATGACAGTGCCCCTGGTGCTACCCCCGGGCGCTTACGTAGGGTAGATAAATACAGCCTCTGCACAATTCGAAGTAAGAAGGCTACGAGCTTGAAAAGAGCTCGTAGAGAGAAAGAAAATGGATGAAAAGGAGTCTCTTTAGGCGACATGAGTGACATCTAACAACCTAATGGGGTTCGAGTCGCTTTAGGTGCTCATTGTTTGTCCTTGACAGATATGGTCTGCAGCCGGTGGTGACGACCGCGCTAAAGGTTGCGTGACGTCACATGGCCGTGCCGTGCTTGGCGGCACGCTAAACGTTCGCCACCAAACCCTACCGTTGACCTGAAAACTGTACGGTCGGTGGTTGGAGTGCTCACGCAACAAGCTCTGCTTAGCGGAAGCCTGGATCCCGCAAAGCCATCCATCAACAAATGGTTCAGATTACATACGTAAAATGGTGTATGCTTTCATGAGTAGCATGGGCTGAAAATCCGTGTCCGATTGATGGCGGATACTCGCGGCCCTTGAAGATTTTCCAGTGCACCATGAAAATATAAAGACGTGACCGTCCGCCAAATTTTTAGTACCGTTGCCCTGTAAAAAATTTCACCCGCGGCGATACGGCACTCGCGTGCCGTTCCGCAGTCGACATGGTGCGGGCGCTTTGCATGGAAGACGGGCACCGTCTCGTGTATGGAGCAGGCCTCGGCTGTAATCGGCACCAATATTCAGCTAGTTCGAAGAACTCTCGCCAGATGGCATGTGGCGGCCGCGCTGGCTCTGGAAGCCGAGGCCGGCCGCCCAGCGATGGAAAAAATCCCTGAATCAGGTGTTCCAGGCGCCATAGCGGGGTGGTGCGCATGCGCAATGGACGGGCTTGTGTCAGTCCGGCGGACACGTTATGCAAACCTCGAATCTCGGCCACTCGAGGCACCTCGCAGCGTGGCCACTGCGGGGTGGGTCCCTGTAGACGGGCCAAAGAGGGCGAGCTCTGCGGCCTTTGTGGGGGGGGGGGGGGGGGGGGGGGGCGGGGGGTCCTTCGTGTGGATGTGGGTGACTGCACGTATAAATCTGATTTGTATGAAACGTACGATTGATTTTAATTCACTGTTCGGCCTATTTTCAAGGCGAGTGACTGTGTTTGGATATGGACAGTGGCGGGTTAGGTTTGAGAACCATTCGACTTTGATTACGGCCGTTGATGTAATATATGTGTGCGATGAACATGTTTTTCCTTTCCTGGTGCGCTGTGCCGGGGTTGCTCTGCGGAGAACGCTAAGCGAAATCTCTCGGACCCGCACACCCATACCATGCGGCAGGCGGAGCGAGTGTACATTAAACTGAGCCACGATACATGGATGTGGTCATTAAGTACAATTTGGTGTTACACGACGAGGACTGGCGCGAATCGCTGGCCAGCAGCGCGAGATCTTTACAGCCGAGGCACGTAGCCCATCTTTGCCTCACGGAGGCCAAGCGTCGAATTTTCTTCCAAATCCTGCGACTGGACCAAATTTCTGCGGAATTGCCAAGTACTTAGAATACACCTCTTGGCCCAGGGGAGCTTGTTCCCTTAGTCTCATCCTTGTCTCCGCTCCAGATTATTCTGAAATATGTTTCTCATGTTGTGGGAACTTTTTAACGACGATGTAGTTCAGGCCATTGGCACAGGCCTGATTTAGCATAGCTCAGTCCATGGGCGTAGGCCTATTCCTTTACTTAACTACTTAAATTCAATTTGTTAAAGAACAAGAACATTGTAAGAAGCCTTGGAACCAAACCATATAAGCCTTGTTAGGAACGTGTTTGACAGTGATCAATAACGCACGGGCCATATCCTTCAGGAGCAATACTAGTGCCTACTAGCCCGGGCAGCCACCGCTGGCATACTTGTTGGAAGTCATTTGCCTACAAGTCATAAAAATGCTTATAGATTAAATCAGAACAGTCAGAGGACATGCACTCATGAATTCATAACGGAGCGTTTCTGCAATATATCTTCCAAATCTGCCCATGCTTAAACAAGTTTTGAAGCCTTTATTTTTTAACTTTAACATCAGACTGATCTCAGCTAGCGCAATGACCCACTTGGAATTTTAAAATTTCACCCAGTACACGTCGTCATTTGGGCCTTAGCACGCACTTAGCTGTTGCGACTATATGACGTCGCCTGCTTCACATCCTGCCAGGAAGGGCGGGCACCGCGGGGAACCGAACCCTATACACCTGATTTCCCAAACGCACAACTTAACCACTGCGCTACCGACACACTCCCTCGGGTACAAGATGGATATATAAAAAGTACGAAAAATTTGGCATCGCACCACTCCGCGTTTTTTTTTTTTGTTTATTAGTTGTTTGTTTGTTGTTATTTATTAGTAGATCGGACACATTAAAGGGAGCTAAATCCTGGAGCCTGTGCCGAGCCCGGCGCAGACCGTGAATTCATTTCAAACAGAAAACATAAAACCAAAGCTGCTGAAAAGACCATTTTAACAAAATATCATGACATTGCATTAAAAGATAGCTGTAACAAAAAAGTCACCGCAATTATGCTTACTATAGTAAACCCAGCATGGTAACGGTTAAATAAAATATTACAGCATGACGTTGGCGGGCAAGACACTTATAAACAAATGTTTCAAGTCGTGCAGTGACCAGAAAATGCGCAAAAATTGCAAGGAGGGTATGTATTTGGGGTTCTAAAGCTACGGCAAAACCACGGCGGCGGAAGTGGTGATTTCACATGATGGGCGTTGATGGAAGCGTACGAAAACAGCAGACGCACTTAGGGAATAGGGATGTTGACAAAGGAATGCGGGCAGGGAAAGAGCAGACTGTTGACTGTTTAATGTTTCATTCGACTCTCCGACTTACGTTTGCTGTCGTGAAACGGTGGATGCTGGGATATGACCCGGTCGCCGCCGTGCACTAAGCGGCCCCCGTGGGGGGGGGGGGGGGGGGGGGGGGCGCCACCGCCCAGGCTAGCTCCCACCCTTCCTTCCTGTCGAGTCTGTCTCGTTCTCGTTCCCTTTTCTGGTCTTTTCTTTGCTCGGGGACGGTCCTGCCAGGTTTTTCTCCCTCTTCCCGCTGAGGATCGCCTCTTGGCCTTCCCAGCTTCCGCCCTGCGACCAGTCGCCTCACCGTGGGTTCCTCCCAGTTTCTTCCCATCGATCTTTCGAAGTTCTGAGTTTTGCCCCAGCGGTTTCTGACAGTCGACGGCCGCGTCGGCTCTTGACCTGACAGCTGGTATCAGGGTTTCTTCCCGGACCATCGGGCCGTTCGGCCCTTCGGCCAGGTCGCCTAGGCTTGTTTCACTTGCGGGTATTGTGAGATATTATCGTCAGCCGTATATTAGGCTGCTGAGGTGCGCCAGCCGTGGTAGCACGGATGCTTTCCACGACTCATCCAGTAATCGTTGTTTGTGCTTCTTCTTTCCGCAGCAACCGCCTGTCATTCAACCTTCGCGGTTGCTGGCATCTTGGCTGGATTTCGAATGCCTGCCCACTTGTCTGTCGGCGTTATAGTGTGAGATTGGATATATATATATATATATATATATATATATATAAAGAGAGAGAGGAGAGAGAGAGAGAGAGAGAGATATATATTATATATATATATTATATATATATATATATATACACCCTGGTTCACTTCGGTCACTTGTATTCACGGTCAGCTCTCCTGAACCAATTCAACCGCCGGTCGCACCAGGCCTTCCCCGTCCGGAGTCTGCGACCTCTCTGGCCCGCACATGCGACGTCGGCCAGGTCACGGGGTCAATGGCCCGCAGGCATGAACACAGCCGACCGCGCCGGTCAAACGCTGACCGAACCGACTGACTGCCGGCCCGGGAACCCATTGCCGATAGCCTGCTACGCTCTCAAAATTGATACGACGAACGCCGCTGCGCAATGGGGAAGGTCTCGCTCGACTTCGCAGTCGCCACGTCAGTGTCAGAGTCCAATGACATGAGGCACGATGCAGTGTCACAACTAAGATTTCTTGTTAAAACATGCGGTGCCTATTTTATGAATGGCAACCAGACACCATCACCCAGAACACTCTGCTGAACAGTCACACAGGCTTCAGACCGGCACCTGGACTGCCATGGTCGGACTCACAAGCAGTACCACATACAGCGAGAGCATCCGCAGTGACCGGTTTACTGCTGACGCTACCCGCATCACGCGGGACGGAGACGGCAGAAACATCAGCACCGGCGCCCCAGTCAGGGACGGACAGCACAACTCCTTCGTCAGACAGCCTTGGTGAGACGCACACACCCAGGCCATCAGCAGCCTGGCTCGGACTGGAAACCTCGGGGGAGACCATACGTCTGGAACATGCGCCGCTCCCAACTCCCCTGACTCGCCGGAGCCCTCCCAATTCCACCTTTGAGGTGCATTCGCTGCAGTGACATCTCGCGATTTCAGCCGACTGTGACGCACAAAAATAGTTTTCCCATTGCCATCGAGGCACGCCCTATAATTCAGGTCACCCACCCAACGCAGCGTTGTGGCTGCTTCCCAGGGCCGCATGACTTCGTAATATTAGCCAGCAGGCACAGCCGCCCTTTGCAAGTGTACCGGATCGCCAGAGCGGAATGAAAACTCATTCAGCTTACTTCCGTGCGCCCTTTCGCTGCGAGCATGCCTGTGATCGGATGCCGAGATGGCGAGGCGGTGCGCCTGCCGCCTGCTGGCGCAGAGGTCTTCGACATAATCTGCCACCGTGCAATTGCATGTTGACACATGATCGCCATGGTTTACCTTCGCTGGAAGTTCTGGTTCGCGTGCGAACATCAAAAAGTAGGGAGAGTAATCAAGTGATAGGTGAACCCGAGTGCAGAAGCCCAACATCAGCAAAGGCAGATGAACGTCCCATCAGAGTGACGTCGTCCAGATATTTTGCC